TGCAAGCAAACACTCAGCTTTCAGCTTGTTAAAGAAATTTAGGATATTGAGTAATATTTGTCTTGTCCTTATAAAGAAATAGTAGGTAAGAAAAGATGACAGCATCAGTACCAGCACAGCACTTTGCACTCTGGGAGTATGTAGGCAGTGTGGTGTTGAGCGGGAAAACACATTTCTAGGGCATTTCATGCTAAAGTGAGAAGAATAAATTTCTAGTAAATATATATTGTCTGCAAAAATTGAGGCAGCGCTGTTGCTGAGTTCTTCATAATAACGCAGTTAAAGGGTCTGGATCAGGACTACATGGAAATACCAAGGTAAATAAGAAGGAAAGATATTATCATTTTGAACCTTCCTGCGGGTTGCATTTACACTGCTTTTAGCACATTGGAAGTAGAAGATTTTAAGATCTGTCCAGTAATGTGCCCTGGTAGGAAATTTTGGCCACCTTGTGATCTTCAATTTTCTATACGATTTTGCAACACTGCTTTTTGCGTATGACCAGATTTTGCAATACTTGCAATGACAGGAAATGTTCAGTCTTGTTGCAGACTTATTAATCCTATGCAATGTATCATTCCCAGACATATCGGTATGTCTCTCAGAAAAAAAAAAATATAGACTCTCTGAAAAAAAAGAAAGAAAGAAAGAAAGAAAGAAAGAAACAAAACCTCAGGAAATTTGTTGCCATGAGATTGTGTCAATTGCTGATCAGATCGGATATGAAGTTTGTTCTGGTCTGGTTTCTAGGAGTCGATGTGGAGGGAAGGTAGATACATTTCTTTTTGGAACTCTGAGTGTTAGTCAAAAATAGAAATTCCAGTTTCTAAAGCTGTGAAAAGCAGGGCAGCAACTACTCAGTGGGATCAGTGTCCTTCATAGCATATTTCACTTCATGCAGTGTGTGTGTGTGTCTTTGTCTTCAAATGTACACATGTAAAACAGGAACAGAGACACTACTAGAGCTGTCTAAGCTCTATGGTCAAGTGGTATTTCTAGTTCAGATATTAAGGCCTGAAAGCTTCAACACTGGTTGAACATATTATTATTTTGCCTTGAAAGTATCTCTATGCTGTCTACCTGAGGAGTAGCAGAATCAGCAATATACTTAGGGTCCACTATTTCTCTGCTTTGTTTTTTTTTTATTATTTTTATAGCGTTTTGTGCAATGAAATACTTGAAGAAATTTCTGATAAGCTAAAAAGCTGAAGTACTAAAGGTTGGTTAAAAAAAATAGCTTTGAGATATTATCCAGAGTGGCACGTGGTTTTGTCTGGAGCATGTTGATGTTGACAGGTAGCAACAGCGACAAGTGGTAGTGTGTCTCACCCGTGTCCAGGAAGACCTGTGGCTGGAGCAATGTTTCAGGGACTTTACCGGTATAATGCAAATGGGTGTCAAAGTGCAGGTGAGACAGGAGAGCCCTGAAGACCAAAAGACCAAAATGAAAAATCAGGTCTTCTCTAAATACAGGCTCCTGTGAAATTTTAAACGGCAACATGCAACTTGCTGGCTAAGTCTAGATGTCAAAACCTGGATTTAGCAGATGAGTTTTGGCACTCAAAATGATATTTGGCTGTTTGGTTTAGCCTGAATTCTATTTGGCCTGGGAACAGGCTCCAAATTTTTTTTCTCCCACACTATCATAAATCATATTCTGCTTGATGAGAAAATAGCAGTTGACTAATATTTTTGTAGTTTAATGAATAAATTGCACATGTGAATCTATAAGAATAATAAAGTGCAGGAGCAGCTATAAATGGTAAAGAAAACTTTGTATTTCAAAACGTCTGTTTTTTTATGAAATAGCATTTAATGTGAAAAACCCATTCACAGAAATGAATTTTGTACATACAGCTGAAAAATCTTTAAAACTAATGGCTCTCAATTACATGCTTATCTAACATGTTGGGTGTGTTTTAATTTAAATTGACTTCAGTGATTTGTACTTTGGCCTTGCCTAGTGAAACAGGAGTATACTACAGAAGAAAGTAGATAAAGCAGGTATGGATACTTCAGTTTTAATACAGCACTTCCAACCTCATTTTTAGCTGGGCAAGTACTTACATGTGACGAAAGTGCTTTTGTAGAGAGAAATGCTACGCAATTTGTTTCCCATGTTCAGTTGGAGTTCTAAGAGAAACTTTTCAGCTTGAGTTGAAAAAGTCTTCCTAAGCAAATAAAACTACAGTGATCTAACATATGCCTTCAACCATCTGTGTTTTGCTGGCTTATAAAATTTTTATGAGAGTTTGTTTTGATGATGAAAGCAGCACTTTCTCATGCTTTCTCTGCATGAGATTACAGACAAATGTAGTTATATTACACTACCATTCCATAATTGAAATATTCTCAATAACCTATTTTCTGTGGGAAACAACATAATACTTACACTTTATATCTTCTCCACTACTCATACAGCTATAGATCCAAGTCTTGGGAAAATAAGAAAGAAAACAGCTTTCATATTAATATAGATAGTCTTTCTCTTTCTTCTGTTAATGCAAATTTTATCAAAAATAGTGTGTAAGTCTAATCTAGGGATTCTTCTGTTCATGATTAACAAAAGCTAAAAGAGTTTAGAGAGCTCGTTTGACAAAGAACATGAACAAATTAATATTATATGATTAATGTGAATTTCTGGAACTAAACTTCCTCCAAAAGGAGATAACACATTTCTTTTACAGAACGAAGAAGAAGAGGGCTCTAATATCAGATCTCTTTGATGCTTTAAACATGCCAAGCAGATTTATAGCTATCTCCCTTAGCTTAAATCTGAAATGATGAAATTTTTGTTTTATTAAACGGAATGGTAAAGCCACTATGGCAGATTTCTCTGTTTCCATAAAGTTTCTAGGAGCAGTCATTAAGATTGAGCTTGAAAGTGTCCATGCTTTTCAAAACCTTTCTGATAAATGTAATCTTCCATTCTTCAGACTTAGATATATCGCTGAAAGCCTATAAACACAAAAACAGCCCCTAGATTGCTTTGTCTGAAGCGCTCTCTGGACTATACATTTTGCAAATGTACATTATAATTTTGAAGATGGCTTCTCTTTGCAGGACTGTTCAGTGTAAGTACTAGATGTTCAAACAGCTGGGAAATTTATTCACTTACCCATCTGTCTTTTACTCTTCTGGTCAGTACTCCAATAGCATGTTGAGAAAATAAATTTACAATGCAATGTTTTCTTTTATATAATTGGATTTTCTGCTTACTAAGTCATTTTCCATGAAAAGATGTTCAAATTACAAGATATTTATCTATTGATAATTGATAATGGATAATTGATTATCCACTTATGTTTTCATCAAATTTGCTGATGTTAGAGCCTTGTCTAAACCTCTTTTTTAAATCTTCACTGAAGGATTTTGAAAATTCATTTCTTATACTGGATTCTGAGCTTTCTGAAAAAGAGCACAAGAGAAACAAAGATAAACATAAGGCCAAATGAGAAGCTGCATTGTACTGAAGTCTCTACAGGATCTTTCTTTATTCCCTGAATTGATTTTGTTCTGGTTCTGTGGGAGGAAGAGAAGTAAAAACTGAGAATAGTTCTCATGTATGTGCTTTCTTTTTATAGGTTAAAGTTAGATATTCTATTCAGTGGATACTGAACAGTTCACAATGTGTTGCTGATCATTATCATTTATTCTTCCCTTTTCTAGCAGTTCTAGAAGTTCTAGCATGTATTCTTCCCATTTCTAGCAGTTTCTATCATTATGATTAGGGGGAAGATATCAAGGGGAGAGGGGTGGAAACAAACCACTGCAGTTGAAATTGTTTAAACACTATGGAGCAGAAGGACATAGGCTGAAAGGATATTCCAAATATTTCAATGCCAGCAAATCTAAACAGAGATGGCCTTTGATTGATAAAAGCATTGGAAGGGGACTGTTGTATCTGGAAGGGTATGGTGACCCCATCACGTATGTTGTACTCAGCCAAAACAGCACGTTTGACTGCCTTATGCACCAGACTGCTTTTCTTTTGCAGTGAAAAATTTCAAAAACTTCATCACCTTTGAAAAGCAGAAGATAGATCAGAGTAGCAGGCAGAAGTGTTTGACAAATTGCAGAACTTATGCAGTCTTGTAAAAAGCTGAAAAAAAAATTCTACAGAATACATGTAGAAATGTAGATGAGTTTAGCCGTATTTTGCTATAATGAATGGAGTAAACAAATTTATAGAAACATGTTCAGAAGGCATAATTCAACAGATATTTCAGCTGTAAAGCACTTACGGTGAATAGCTTAGACTCACGATGCTTGTTGGTTGTCTTCACAAGTGTTATCAGTATTAGTTTTGGATAGCCAGGACATGTCCTGAAAAATAAACATGAAGACATAATATTGTAGTACATTGGTCTTTTCTGAGTTAATTACTTTGTAGGCTAACTATGGATAGAAAGCACAAAGTAACAAATTTCACTTCCAGTACTAGTCTGTGAGTAGTAGTTATTGCTTGTTGAATGCACACAACAAACTTCTTCCATATCTCAGTACCCAGAAGTGTGTAATTTTCTCTGTTAGATCACTCTTGTGGTCCTAATGTTCTAGTTTTCTGGTGGTGCTATAAAGCTGCAAGCAGCAATACGTTTTAGTACCTCAACTCCCTCTACCAACCTTAGTGCAACAGAAATCTCAATTTTTATTTTGGATGGCTTGATCCTTATTTTCTCCATAATACGTTAGTCATTCTTTATATTTGCCCATCTTGTTCACTGTAGGGTAGCTAGAGCAGATTATGGGATGTCAAAGTCGCCAGAAAAAGTCTTTGCTAAAGGTAATTCTTCCCAAAATGACATTACTATGTTAGGCAGTGGATACATATTGAAATCTATCTCGGATAGCTACGTGCCTGGCTGGAAAACTTTTCTGAATTTTTTTAAAAATGTGGCAGACCTTATCTGGCAGCTATTAGCTTCTCCAGTATCTTTGAGCTTAATGTAATCTGAAAAGTATGCACAAAGTAACACACAAACTCATCCATTTTTCAGCCCGTGTGTGTTTGGATCTCCAGAGCATGGAGGACTTGGAAAAGCAAAGACAGTCTGACCTTCTTTACGGTCTCCCTTCATTCTTCCATGCCTGTCTTCATGAAGGTCAAGTGTTTTCTGCCTTCTCAAATGCAAAAATAAAACTCATGCCTCTTGCCTCCGTGGAAGCAATGTTGCTCTCTAACAGCAACTGAAAACTCAGAGAGTGTGTTGTTGTAGTAAGGAGTCTCCGCCCTGAAAATACTGTGAAGGAATGACCTGCATTATATTTAAGGTAGGTTAAAAATGAGAAGACTAGAAACCCTCATGCTTAAGAGGCATAAATCAGCTACTGCTTTACCCAAGAAATTTCTCTCATATGAAGTTATCTTGTAATGCTTGATTGCATCTTTTTCTTGCACTTTCTGTAGAAGCAGCCCACTTTCAAAGACAGAATATTAGGTGAGATGGACCACACTTCTGCTTTGGAACAGCAAACTCAGTGCTCACAGAAAAGGTAACGTATAGCACAGCGGTTGTCTTTTGGTCCTGTAGCTCTCTGTCATCCTCTCATAAGGTATGGCAGCGTGACAAGTCATCTAGATGTATTCAATGTGAAATGAAGTATGTTGCTTTTTGTTGCCTCTGTCTATTAATTTTTTATTTTAATGGCATGTAATCTTAAAATATATACTTGAAAATACTTTTGAACTTGGGAGCATATTAGTCTACAGGTCACCTTGTTATTTATTTATGCTTTCTTCCCACACTGTCAATGCTACCGTAACTGCGACAAAGAGATTCTGTTTTTTAGAATTGGGTAATGTTGCAGCATTGTAATCTTTCAAAATAATTCATTGTATCAGATACGATAATCTTTAGTGTGCTTCCTCCTGTTTTTTGAAGATTTATGTATGCAGTCTGGCACACTGTCTTTGCAGAGGAAGATACATTCCATTATGGTAAGAGCTTTCCTGTTCTGAGCCTTCAGATCTCCACTGAGTCAATAGTCTTTTTTGCATCCTGACCTGCAGAAGATTTGGCTTATGATAAATCATGGAATGTTGTTTTAAGGCTTTATCATTTGGTATGTTACAGGAATAGAGTTTCCTGATACTTTTCCAGCATTCCTGTTAGCATTGTATGAGAATGCACATGTGTATTTACGCAAATTTCACAATGAACTCATATGCCTTTGGTGAAGCTCTGCCTGGCTGTACTGTTATTCGTAAAGCTCACCACCTGCCTTCTCAGATGCATACTGATGCATAAGCAGCTTGGTTTGGAATGATTCTTCTTTCTTTTTTTAAACAGATAATTGCATTAAGTAATTCATAACACAGCTATGTAGTGCCTCAGAAAGAAGAATGCAACATTTACACTGGAGTATACAGTATTATTTGATCTGCTTGCTCTGAATGACGCCTTTTGATGTGACACCTTTTATACTGATGAAATAATATTACATCCACTTTCTGTGTTGGCTTTCTGTTGCCTGAGAGGGATTGGAATTATCAACATGATAGCTAATAAACAAAAATAGCTGTCAGGTACTATTCAAAGGCATCAAACTTTTCTTTTCCAGAAACTAAGTACACAGAGAAGAAAACAAGTATGCAAAGTGTTCATTCACTGCAGTATGTTCATTCTTATCTTTTATGATGTTTGTGTTGAAATCCATCAGCATAGTTCCACTGGTGTTTCAAACATGATATTGAACAAGATCGTGTTCTAAAGTACTCATTATAAGCAGAATTAAAACAAAGCTTGTGGATGCTGTTAACTTCTGATTATCTTCCTTGAAAAATCACATATTGCACAGCAGTTGTCAAAAAGTGTTGTGCATTCTCTATATTATGAATGGTCATAACACTATTGACTTGGTTCAGTAAGCTTTATATTTAAAACAGTATTGCCATCTTGTGGTTCTGACAGGGTTTATCACTCTGTTCCTTTCTGCAGCCATTTTTTTTTCTTTACTGTGATGGCAAGAATTTCTGAAAATCCATGGAACATAAAATGTGATTGATATTGCCCTCTTGCAAAATGTTCACAGAGAGAAAATTAAAGCCTGTATTTGAATGTCATAAAGCATATCATCAGTCTTTCAACAATGCGATTGTATTATATTCCACTGAAAGAAACAGAGCAGATACCTAAGGTTTTTATTAAGAAGACCATTGTGAGATGCCAGATTGCAAGAGCTGCCTTTTTAAAGACTTGCTTTTGGTAGGCAGTTTGTTCCAAACGCATATCCTTCACCAAGTGTCTGCACTCCCCATCTGTGGATCCTGGACCACTGAAAGTTCATAAGATCATACAGGGTATTAAAAGAGAGCTGTGTGGTCTGAAGAGTATTTTTATTTTAGAGATTAATGATAAAGGCTCAGAAAAAAACATACCAAATTCAAAGTGGCAGAAGTTAAAAATGTTCTTTTTTTGGCTTTTTTGTTTAGTTTATTTTAATAATTGTTTTCTGTGTTTACACAGTGCTAGTATTGCGGGACCTTGCTCTGATTCACCTGTGGGTGCTGAGGGACCTGGGAGTTTTTGCTAGGACACTCTCCATTATCTCTGGGAAGTTGTGGGGAACAGGAGAGGTTGCCTAAGGACTGGGGGAACGCAAATGTCACCCCAGTCATCAGGAAAAGCAAGAAGGAAGACCTCAGGTAACTATAGACCAGTCAGCCTCACTTCCATCTCTGGAAAGGTGGTGGAACAAGTTGTCCTTGGTCTCTAGGCATATTAAGGATAAGAGGGTCATCGGGGGCAGTCAGCACGGCTTCACCAAGGGAAAGTTTTGCTTGACCAACCTGATAGCCTTTTATGAAGGCATAACCAGGTGGATGAGTTGATGGTAAAGCAGCAGACGTGATCTATCTTGATTGTAGTAAAGCATTTGACACCATCTTCCAGAGCACCCTCACAGCTACATTGAGGAAGTGTGATCTGGACAATTGGGTAGTGAGGTGGACTGCGAAGTGGCTGAAGGAAAGAAGCCAGAGAGCTGTGGTCAGTGGGACAGCCTAGTTGGAGTTCTATCCAGTGAAGTCCTTCAAGGGTTGGTACAGGGACAAGTACTATTCCATATATACATCAACAACTTGGATGAAGGAATACAATGCAGTGTCAACAAGTTTACTGAGAGGAGTGGCTGACTCACCATAAGGCTGTGCTGCCATCCAGCGAGACCTAGATGGGCTGGAGAGTTGGGCAGGGAGAAATTTAATGAAATGCAAAGAAGGCAAGTGTAGAGTCTTGTATCTGGACAAGAACAACCTCAGGTAGCAGTACAGGTTGGGGACTGACCTACTGGAAAGCAGCATAGGGGAAAGGGTCCTAGGGGTCCCGGTGGACAGTCGGATGACTGTGCATGTCCTTGTGGCCACGAAGGCCAATGGCATCCTGGGCTGTATTGCAAGGGGTGTGGTTAGTAGGTCGAGAGATGTTCTCCCCACCCCCTCTCCACCCCTTCTACTCTGCCCTGGTGAGACTGCATCTGGAATACTGTGTCCAGTTCTGGGCCCTTCAGTTCAAGAGGGACAGGTAACTGCTGGAGAGAGTCCAGAGCAGAGCTACAAAGATGGTTAAGGGAGTGGAGCATCTCCCTTCCAAAGAAAGGCTGGGGGAGCTGATCTCTTTACCTTGGAGGAGTCTGAGGGGTGACCTCATTAATATTTATAAATATGGAAAGGGTGACCATCATGAGGATGGAGCTAGATTCTTAATAGTGACGTCCAGTGACAGGACAATGGGCAATGGCTGCAAGCTGGAACATAGGAGGTTCCACATAAATTTGAAAAAGAATTTCTTTGCTGTGAGGGTAATGCAACACTGAAACAGGCTTCCCAAAGAAGGTATAGGGTCCTATTCTCTGGAGACCCTGCTTGGACGCATTCCTATGTGACCTAATCTAGGTGTTCCTGCTCCCACAGGGATATTGGACTAGATGATCTTTTGAGGTCCCTTCCAATCCCTGACATTCTGTGATTTTGTGACTTGTGGACAATAACATACTATTGTCACTAGCCTTACGTGAGAGGATGCCCTCTCAGAGTGCAATATGTGCGTCCCATTTGGCAATGAACAGGACCATTTGATACTTTAAAGACTGAATGCAATTAGCCACTTCATCCAAAAGACTGAAGATACAATTCCTATGTCACCCGCAGTGAAAAGAAAAGCTCAAAATATTTCTATGGCACAAGTCATTTTTCAGATAACTGGAGAGCTCTGCCTTACCAGATGAATTGCTGAGCACCCGATGTTACCCAATCCCACTGAGAGAAAGGGGCCATGGCTTCTGACGAAACTTTAGAGATGGACGGGATTATTATTTTTTCTCCTTTCCATGAAGAATATCAAGCTGCTAATTGTCTGCTCTATTTTCTGCTCTAGCTTTTACAGAAAATATTGTCACATGCCAGGAAAATTCATATTCTTGATATTAAATCTTCTGATAACACTGAGAGAGTGTCATCCATCCAGACCGGTAGCATATCTGAAGCAAAGACCCTGTAAATAAGCAAAGAATTCTATCTGTTAAAAAAAAAAATCAATATTGTTGTCAGTAATCTGGATTTGAGGATCTTTAGAAATCTGTTAGTAGTGAGCAGATACATAGAAAAATCTCTTCTACATTGAACACTGTATTGCAGACTCAACTCACTAACTTTGTTTTCTTTCCGGACAGTTTCACACTGAGTTTTTGAAGAAGGATTCCCAGTTTTGCAGTGCCACTGTGACTGGCATTATCAGGGTAGGAATTTTCTTGAGAAAGAAAAAATTTTCCAGATCTAAGATTCCTGATGGACGTTCTCCATTTTAAAGCTCACCAAATCTGTACATATTTGAGAAGGATTTTGATTGTAACGAAACCAATGCAAATCCTAAGCTCAGGAGTTCAAACAGTTCTTGGTCTACAACATGGCATATGAAGAGGTACGTGTATTTGGCATCTAACTATTTTATGACATTATGCTCTAAAAGCCAATTCTAAGTACTTTTATTGTTACTAATATTTTTATTTATATATATAATTAATACACATATTACTAATATTTTTTTGTTGTTACCCTAAACACCAAGAGTCTATCTCAAGTGTTGCCTTACAGTAATGAGTAAAAGTCAGCTTTTCAGACTGTTGTATAGATTATACACAATACTGATTGTCACTTTACACTCACCAAGTTGATTTTTTGTCAAACTGGTCCATGTTGAAGCATTCTGTTTTAACTTTCCTTACAATATATCCATAAAGATAAATCTGTGGAAATATCATTTTTCAGACTGGAAAGCCTCAAGATGAGCGGCCCTCTAATGGAAATAAGCATAACACAAGCAACAGCTTCATAGCTGAGCTATACTCTATATATGCACTGACACCCATCTTGGTGCTTGAGTAGCAAGCACTGCTAGAGACAACCTGTGCTATGTAGTTCCTAATTTTATTTCTTACGCAAGTAACCTATCTATCTTGAAAATATTATATTTACGGGTAAGAAATTTTCTATCTAATAATGATGAAATTGTAAAGCTAAGTTTTGAAAGTAAATTCTGTACATAAAATTTTTCTATCTTCTGGCAGATTAGTACGAGAATCAAAGGACATAATTCTTTCACTGTAGTGATACTAGAAAGTGAAGTGCTATCGTGGCTGAATTTGCACAATACACACTACATATGACATTGCACATCATTTACACTTAGAATTCAGGTTGAGGAGATGAAGGATTATGTTGGATTATGTTTGTTTATGCACGAATGTATTGAGCATCTGCCCAAACCTATCTAGGTATTTTATTTGTGTTTCAAGAAAGTTGACCATCTGCTCTGTAATCAGCAAAGATTTTGTTCTAAAAGCTACAACAAAAGATCTCTCATCTTGCACACCCTGTTCTTACTTAAGTTGAAATTTTTATAGCATCCATCTGCAGGTATGATTAGTGACGTGAAGCAGATACATGTCTACTGAGTCAGTATTACAGCTAGAGATGTAGTAAGCAGAATGACAACTAAAACAATTAAATTTTCCCATATAAAGCACTGAAGTCCTATTTACTGTATGTGAACAAAGTACTTACTGATCCACATGCTTTAGTCTTCTCTTTCTTGTTTTGACTCTATTAAGAACTAGAAAGTGTGAAATCATGTGTACTGCTTAAAACATTCCTTCTGTATAATTGTAATTCAGATTCTTTAGACATCTATAAAACCCAGAGGGAAGGCCTCTGTAAGGGAAATAACCTACAGGAAATGCTTTCCTGCCTGTGATAACAACTAAGTCTTAATATTTGGGTTTGCCAGATCCAAGTACTGACTGGCTTCAGAGGCCAAAGAACAGTTGGCACAGTATTTAAGGAGTTTCAGGCCTTGACATTTTAAGAAATGACAAATATGGATGTTGAGTGATTGTCTTCAGTAATTGTTGTAGGGGCAAAATTAACCTACTAAATTCAAATACACAGAACGCTGGAAATATTTTAGACCAGAGTCTACAGTGAGAAGCAGAAGAATGAGAAACCACCTACCTCTCGCAAAGCAGGGGAAGACAGAAAATCTAAATGATACTTGTCTGCAGGTAATATTTTAATAATCTGCTTTTTCTCTTAAGCTTTCTTGGGGCTTGGAGCCATGGCCAAGTGACAAGGGTTTCTTGGGTTTCTTGTGTACAAGGTCTTTGGGCACTGTCTTGGTTTTGCCTTTGTGTCGCCCATCCTCTAACAGCTACAGGGGATTTCTCCAGACCTCAGAGAAGTCACTCTAGCTTTACAGCTCAGCTGGAAACTACTGGGAAAGACTGACTTGTGGCATTTAATATGTATATGACAATTTTTATTATGGAATAACTTGTTTGAACACATCAATTGTTTGGATGTGTGACATAAGCATACTTACTGAACAAACTACTTTCCTTCACACTAAAATTTTCAAGGTAATGGTGAGTAATAATTTTGAAGGTGGATATTAAGTAGAATTGAATGAATTCAGAGCACAACTGCAAATCTCTTGAAGCTGTTGTTAACCATGCAAAACTACTTCCTCTGTGACAGTTTGCTGAGCACAAAACCAGTATTTGAAGAACCTAAGTTATTTATTTCAATTTGATGAGATGCTGAGCAAAGCTGATATTTCAGTTACATATACTAGAAATGAACATACAGATGATCCCATATGTATTATAAATTTAAGTATAACACTGTATTTCCATATATCTTTTTAATACATAATATACACACATCAGGAACTGTGGTAATAATGTCTTTCATTTGCACAGATGGAATACTTCCAAAATCAGTGGCAGAACTGAGAGGTTTTATAGGCTATTTCTTTTCCACTGCATAATTTCTAAAGTAAACAACAGCATAAATATATGTATAAAATAACAAGATTGTGAGCATGACCTCAACATCACCATGAACAAGGGTTTTTTAGAATTTCTAGATATTTGCATTAAAAAAAAAAAAAAAAATGTATTCATGCCTACATTTAACACAAACCCTTTTGTTTGCTTTTTTGTGGGAAGTAGTATCTATTACTTTTTAAAAAAATGATAGAAAATTATAGGGAACTGTAGTCTGCAGAGGTGTTGCCAAGCCACTTCACAACAGTACATACCTAAAACTCTAATGTACTTTTAATTATATCTTTATTTTTAAATCAGAAAATTAGGTTTCCAATTATAAAATACTTGTGCTGTGTATTTTCCTTAGATCTATTCTAAATTTAGCTTTAAAATATTAGCTTTATTGCACAATAGTTAAGGCATATAAAGTCATTGTGGTTTGAGGCAGTATTAAAAAAAGCATGATCGAGAGCACTGGGTTATGTATAGAAGTGATAAAGTAGTCAAAAAGCAATAATATGATGAGAATGGACCATTGTGACAAAGTACCTGTCTCGTTCTTATAAGATGAATTTCTTGACACCAAGTTGATTTTTACTGTTTGCTGCTATCTTTGGCATTTAGATTGCAACTTTATCCACAGTTGTGTTCAACCTACTGAAGGATTCCCTAACAGTAGCACACAGCCTCTTGAAACAGATACAGTTAATATCATGTCTCTGAGAATATAAAATATTTTGTGTTATTTATGATATCGTGTTGAGCTTAGATTCACTGAAATCAAGAGGTCCTTTCTTGGCTACAGGATGTGAGTTTTCAGCTGCCTGCAGTGCATAAGATGAGTGATTAGAGTGCTCTCCTGAGAAGCTGATAAGGAGAGGTAAGTCTTAAGACTCCTTTGAAGATTGGAGGGCTTTGGTTCTCTGCTCCTGTGTTTTAAAACATTTCTGTATTAAGTAGCAGATTAAATGGGCGGGACAGGAAAGGTGTTCTCTGCCTTTTGTTTAAAGTGTGCTGCTGACTGTCCAAAGTTCAGCTTCAGAGTGAGACAGAGACTAGGCTGATTCACTGCCTAGAAGAGCAATTTCCTTCAAGAGTGGGAATGCTGGGTGTCTGGCTTCAATAAGCAGCTGAAAAGCTTTTCAGCCTAGTATTTCTTCCTGAGAAGAGCTTTGCAGTTTCACATTCTGAAGCGTAAGAACATCCTACAGAAACATCCATAGCTCCTGTACACATGATAATTTTCTGAGGCTTTCACGACACATCCTATTCCTTCCAAGTCTGCCCTGACCAACTCCCTGATTTGGAAGGCTGACAAGTAGGCAACTCCAGGCCAGTTTTGCCTAAATTACCTCTCTAATACAAATTGGTCCCCAGTATAAATTGCTGTGATAATAAATTTGTATTTTTCAGATGTTCGTATCTTAGTAGGAGAAGGAATGAGGTGCATAAATGCAGATATAAATAGAAGTGTTCTTATTTCTCTATTAACTTCAAATTGCTCAGTTGACTGTAATTAATTGAAATTATTTAATTTCATAAGTGACTATCCTGTAATCAGATACCAAACAGACTTGTCAATTCTCATGTTTTCTTTATGTGACTCTTCATAGAATGGCTTGGGTTGGAAGCGACCTCACAGATCATCAAGCTCCAACCGCCCTGCCACATGCAGAGCCACCAGCTTATATTTCTAATACTAGACCAGGTTGCTCAGGGCCCCATCCAACCTGGCCTTGAACATCTTCAGGGACAGGGCATCCACAGCCTGGGCAGCCTGTGCCAGCACCTCACCACTCTCTTGGTAAAGAAATTCCCCTGATATCCAAACTCTATCTTCCCTCCTTCAACTTAAAACCATTTCCCCTTGCCCTGTCATTATGTATCCTTATAAAGAGTTGACTCTCCTCCCATTTGTATGATCCCTTTAGATACTGGAAGGCTGCAACAAGATCACCCCACAGTCTTGTCATCTTTGGGTTGAACAAGCCCGGCTCCCTCAGCCTGTCTTCCTAGGGGAGGTGCGCCAGACCTTTGATCACCTTTGCGGCCCTCCTCTGGACCCTCTCTAACAGCTCCCTGTCTTTCTCATATTGAAGGCCCCAGCTCTCAATGCAGTATTCCAGATGGGGCCTCACGAGGGCAGAGTACAGAGGGACGATCACCTCTCTGTTCCTACTGGCCACTCCTCTTCTGATGGAACCGAGGCTACCATTTGCTGTTGCAGACAGCATCCCTGTATTCTTCCAGGTGACACACCCTTGTTTTCAAAGCCTGTGTGTACCTTTCTTTGTCCTCACTTTGCCCAGCAGGTCCTTGCTAACCCATGCTGGTTTCCTGCCTCCTCTGTCTGCTTTGTTATTCAGAGGGATGGAGAGCTCTTGTACTC